CACCCAAGCGGAATCCGCAGAGTCCGCTGATTGGGGCCAGCCGTCCGCTGCCATCCGTGCCACGTCAGCAACAGACAGGGCGGGGTCCGCTAAATTAACGGATATTGGCGGACGGCAGCCCCCGTCCGCTATTAACGGATCCGGGTGGCCACCTCTAATCTAGAGCTGAGCAATCATTGAGGGATTGTGGCTCGTCATGTTTCCTTGGTCTTTCTCCTACAACCATTATCCAGGCAGCACGTTAGGCATAATAAACTGTAACAATACAGCAAGCCTTTGATATTTTCTTGATATGCCGTTTGCATAGTAGCTCTCCCATGTTCTTTTTATGAATGCCAATCTGTTTTTTTCTTTGCTGGCTTCCTTTTTCCTTTCTTGTTCACCCTGATTGGCGGTTTGATAGTGGCCCAGTCAGCTGCCCTGTGTCGGTCATGAGCCCGCCTTTGATGTGCCGGTGCTCATGACTAACGGCAGTTTTAACAGTCGCAAAAAGAACAATTTCACTGTCGCCAGAAAAAATAGTAACCTTTTTATTGCTACCCTCGAATGGCACTGAATCGAGCGGCGCGGCGGTTCGTACATCCCCCCCCCCCGGGCCCGCCCCCCGTCCGTCCCCTCCACCACGTGCCGCCCCCCTGCCTCGCCAGCTATTCCCCCCGCCCAGTCCCGGCGCCGCGCTCCACACGCTGGGGCGCCCGCAGACGCGCACCGCCCACCGGGCCCCTCTTCGCCGGCGGTGCATCCCCCGCTGGCCCGCGGGGCCCCACCCCAAGGGCAAGGGCCCCCGCCTTGGGGTGAACGCCATCCTACCTTAAAAAACTCGACAAAAAATCGACGGGGCCGTGGGGAACATGGCCGCCAACTCGTCGGTGGCGATCTGGCTGGAGGGTGCCGGGCTGGGCCGCCACGTGCCGGCCTTCGAGGGGCTGTCCGAGGAGTCCTTCCTGGGGCTGCTGATGCAGGACTACGGCAAATTCGGCGTCACGGACATGGAGGACAAGCAGCGGCTGTTCAGGCTGATAAAAGGCGCCAGCGGCGAGCGGCGCGATCCGGGGGCCGGCGCTGGGCCGTCGGGGCGCGGCGGCGGGCTGGCCTACGGCGGGCAGGCCGGGGGGGCGGGGGCGTACGGCGGGATGATCGACCACCAGCCGGACGGGGGCTCGGGGCTGCTGGACCTGGAGGCGGACGACGGCGACCTGCTGATGACGGTGGGCTGGCTGTGGACGCGTGAGTCAATCGCGGTGTGGTCGCGTGTGCGTGTGGACCGACGAGGGGCGCCAGAACGTTTGGGCTGCCCGTGGGTTGTTGCGCATGGCCGTGGGGGAGGTGCGGGGCCCTGCTTTGCTTGGCCCTGATTTGGTTGGCTTTGGCTGGCCCTGCTTCGGGGGTCCAGTCGAGGTGAGGGATTTGGGCAGAGGGTGGTGGGAAGGGGGTAGAGCCGAGGGAGGGGGGGCCGGGGTGAGAGAATCGGCGGACCGATCTGGAGGCGTCGGGCGGGGGCTGTCATCGGCCGACGGCCCGGGTGTCAGGGGAGGCCTAGAGCGGAGGGAACAGGGTGATGGGGGGCGATGAGGGGTGTCGGGCTGGTTGCTGCGCGGCCGATGGGACCCGTGGCGCGCGCGGGGGCGGGGGGGTGGGAGGGGGCCATGTCGGGCAGGTGTCGGGGCATGGGGCGTGGCGTTGGGCGGGTGGGATGGGCGCCGGAGGTCGGGCCTTGGCTTCCCGGTAGAGCGCCCGCACCTTCTGGTCCGTCGTGTCTCTTGAAAATGGACCTGTGGTTTTGCAATCGGCTGGGTGGGAATCTGGTTGTAAGCCAGGAATGCCTCAACCCACTCACAAAGGCCATGGCCACCACCCACCCGGCACTGGGAAGAAGATTTTGCTATATGGTATGTTACAACAAAAACGTGCATGTAACCGTCCATGCTATACCTGCAATACATGACCAACCCAGCAATGTGAAACGGAACGAATCCCAAGACCGGTTCACCAGAACTGCACTTGGTTGCCAGTTGCTCGAGAAAGTGGCTGAGTGCACGTGGGATACTGTTTTGTGCCTTCGCACCATGTGGAGAGTGGACAGATGGAGTTTCAAAGCAATGATGTCCTTGCTTGGGACAGAAAGCAACTCACGTGGATGGGTGGTGTGGATGTGCCCCGGTCTTTGGTTTGCCATGGGGCACGCCAATTCGTTTGGTCATTCACATAATACTTGCGACGCATCAACGAAAGCTGTGTCGCAAAACAATATCCCACAGCCCAAATAGCAGCCTCAGAGGTTGTACTTTCACCAGGAAAAAGTGTCCCTGTACAAAATGCAGCCCTATTTGCTCCAACCACCGGTATTGACTTCATCCTGCAATTGGCGTGGGCTATCCAACAGAGCACAACTGCCATGGTTCTTGTCAAGTACTGTTCTTGCCCCTGAGTGCATGTTTACTTCTTGTGTGCTCCGCCAGTGCTCTGATGCTTCTCGATTACCTTTGCAGTTGGGATGGACTATACAAGAATCTTGTTCACTCCAGGACGTGCCCTGGCTGGCTTGTATTTGCAGTAGCACGTGGAAAGCGATCTTCATCACGTGCTTTGTCTGCTTTGGGTAGGCCGCAGGGGACCCTTATGATGGTTTCACATCAACAAGCAATGGCATGAGCTACATGACCACCCCAGACCCCCCCCCAATGCAGCAGCAACGAATTCCGCCCCAAAAAATCACAGTTGTTGTGAGAAAGAGGCCCCTCAACAAGAAGGTGGGAACTCCATGAACTGCATCACACCTGTCGATGTGCTATCCATGGTGTTCCAAGTTGTTTGGAAAGAATTTGTTACCTTTGGGTGGGCATCGGACAGATTTAATGATCTTCACCAAGTCATGCATGTCAGGCTCAGGTGTTGAAGTGCCATCAACACTGATCTGTTCAATGTTGCTTTTGGTCTTCAATCGCTGCTAGAGTTGCAGCAGTGGCTTGCTACATGGTGGATTGCAATTTGAACCACATGGGAGCTATTTAATCGCCCAGTCTTTTCGGAGAAGAATCCAGTCTTTGTGATGGTTGGTGCATCCTAAATCCAGAGCACAAAGTATAGAAAAGACTGGAGAGTCAGTGAAGAGACTGGATGAGCAATGAAATCTCAAATCACACTCTCCTGATTGTTCCTTGCCTGTGCTGCACCTGGCTGGCGTAAATGTTGTGCTGCAGTCCTTGTCCCTGGCCAAATTTGCTTGCCAATGTTTATCAGCCTCCTTTCCTTGCAGATTTGCACATCCTTCTAGATAATTGATCGTTGGCTTTAAATGTGTTTGATTGTATTGTTCCCTTCTGGCTGATGTTTCCTGAATGGCAGCTGGGCCTCAATGAGCTATGGCCTCCTCCTGTGTTTGGAAACGTGTTTGAAGAGAGAATGTTGGGGCATCTCAGGGAAAAACAGGCCCATGCGATTCAATAAGAGGTTTTGGTGCTGTTGTTTTTGGCCACAAATGCTGAAGCCCACATGTCACCACAGAATCTGGTGTTCCTGGTTCCTGGTAACATTGTGGATTTTTAAGTCTTATCAGGGTCTGTGTGGACTCTCAGTGGACGATGGCAGACACATTGTTGTCCCATTGGAACACTGGGCAGCTACGGTTCTATTTTTGCCCAATCTGCTTGTTGTGGACTATGATAACTACTCGTCATGAGTATCCATGTTGGCGATTTGTCAAACAACTTGCAAGTAATGGACAACAAGAAGCTGGCTTCCAACCTTGATTTATCTCTTCACTGTGACGTTTCGTGTTGGCTGGCTTTCAATCGGGGATGAAATACTGTCATGAATGTGCTGTGGAATGTTCTGGCATACTGTTGACGAAAGCAACCAAGGTGGACATGTAGCTATCACAAAGGCCGAGCTGTGGTCTTAGATGCTCCAGCTGTCACAGGAAAAGGAGCGAGGAGAGGATGACATAATCGAGGTGGACATGAACAGCCAGATTCTGCACGTGAACGAACCTCGTGTGCGTGTGGACCTTGTGCGATACACGGAACGACACCAGTTCTCCTTCGATGTGGCGCTGGACGACTGTATAGAAAACGACCTGGTGTACCAGATGACAGTGCAGCCCCTGGTGCAGACCATATTCTGGGGTGGCAAGGCCACCTGTTTTGCATATGGCCAAACAGGCAGCGGCAAGACCTACACGATGTCGCCCCTGCCGCTGAAGACTGCAGAAGACATCTTTGCTGCACTGCAGCTCCCTGAGCATGACAACCTGTTTCTGCATGTGAGCTGCTTTGAGATCTACGGCGGGAAGATTTACGACCTCCTTAATGGTGCGCTGTTGTTTGCGCACACTGGTCGTTCACAGACCAAAACCTTCTGACCAATGGTGTATGGCTGTCTGGCACTGTGAAAGCTGATGCGAAAGTTGCTGTGGACAGACAGGAGATTGAAATGCCAGAATCAAGCATTGTCTTGTTTTGTATCAAATCGATTGTGTGACTGCTGAAGTCTGCAGATGACTGTTCCATGTACACATTAATTCAGGTGAGAATGGCAAAAGGACGGTGACGGCATTCCTTCATAGCCTGTTAAGTCAAAGGAATGTGTTTTCTTGCAAACGTAAGGAGGCAAGTATCGCATCAGAAGTTGAATTGGCTGCCAATTTGGTGCCAAGTTAATGCTCATGATGGGGTGTGCTCTGTGCCATGGTTTACCCTGTTTCTTTGTCCTACCGCATTTCTGCCGATGTTCCAGGTCGCAAGAAGCTGGATATTCGGGAAGATGGCAAGAAGAAGGTGGTGGTGGTTGGACTGAAGGAATATGTGGCTGATGGGGTGAACTTCATCGAGCAGCTCATTGAGCACAGTGCTGCGGCAAGGAGCACAGGCAAGTTGACTGCTTGTGCACATTGGCTCATCAGGATTTCCCCACAAGCCAACTGTGTCCCACGTGCCTTTGCTTGCTAATGTTGCACTGTTTTGCGCGTTGACTCACTGTTTGCTTATGTTGAAATCGAACAGAAAATCATTGCAAGTTCAGATCACAGTTTGTGTTCTCACAGGAAGAGTCACTGCCATTGTTCCACAAAAGTGGTGAAGGGCACTGTGATTGTCTGAAAGCTGTTGTCTGGGTTTGTCTGATTGTTTGACAATGCCATTTGGCCATCATGCGGTATCCACCTATGGTTGCTGTGTGACTCCAGGCAGCACAGGCGCAAATGCGGACTCGTCTCGGTCACATGCAATCATGCAGTTTGCCCTGAAGCAGCCCATAGATGAGAATAGGGACAAGCTCGTTGGGAAGATGTCCTTCATCGACTTGGCTGGCAGTGAAAGGGGAGCCGACACTTTTGACAATGACAGGTGGGGCACGCCACCAAGGAAGTGCTGTTGCCATTCGTTTTATCGCAGGGATGCCCAGGTTAGGTTTGGGACTCAGCAGCGTGCTGCTGATAGTTGACAATTTGATGATCTGATTCCGATGTTAACCAACCAAAGCATTGCTGCGAGGTGGGACATGTAGCCAGTGCAGTGCAAGTGTACAGGTATGCAGAGTGGTGCAGATGGACTCTGCACTGTGCACCAACATTTGAGCACATTGGTTGCAGTGGTGAATAGTACTGAGCAGTACGGTGATTGACTGATACAGCGCATGTGCCACCGTAATGCTTGCATTTCCGATCATGAAAGTGCGACATGATGTCCACGTTTTGTGTGGCGACAGACATGCGTGGGTGCATGATTGCAGTTGGAGGCCATTTGAATTGGCAAGGACAATGGGATGTCAGTGACATATGGTGCATCTTGGAGTTTGCTCTCCTTCATGACAGCGATCTTCACAATTGCAGGGAATTTCTGCAGTCTCCCATCTCGCATTTGTATGGCTATTTCTATCTTCTTTTTTATTTTCAAGTCTGGATTGATATAAAGAAGCAGTGAAGTGCCAGTGAGGGAGGTAGACACATAGGTTGTTAGCGATGGCACGGAGCTGGAGATGTAGGTGTTGTGTTGCTCAGTTTGAGTCTCCATTCAGAGTATGCTGAACAGACCAAGAAGATGTGCATTATTCTCTCCTCCTTGGGCCATGCTACCCAAGTGTCACACCACTCATGCGTCTGGACATGGTGGCTGGTATTCATGGCGATCGCGAATGTTGTGTTGGACAGTGTGGCACTATGCTGTTCTGACCAACACTCATCTCAGGATGAATGACACATTCAGAGTGCGCACATATGCCCCCATACTTGATTGAGTGAGAGTGTCGCGACTGCTGCCTGCAGACAGACTCGCCTGGAGGGTGCTGAGATCAACAAGAGCTTGCTTGCACTGAAAGAGTGCATCAGGGCGCTGGACAGTGACGCTCGTCACGTGCCCTTCCGGGGCTCCAAGCTCACTGCTGTCCTGCGGGACTCCTTCATAGGGAAGGAGGCAAGGACAGTCATGATTGCCAATATCTCTCCTAACTCGATGTCCGTGGAGCACACACTGAACACACTGCGCTACGCAGACAGGGTCAAAGGTGTGCAAAGTTTTGCTCTTCTTGTTTTTAGTCAGATAGCACGAAGGAACGGCACTCAGTGGCATCATGTCTCTGCCCCGTGACCAAAGGAACAGGTGGAAAATTGGCCTATGTGCAAGGGTCTGTGGGCAGTGGCTGCATGCAAATGCAGCTGATTCAGTTTTTGGTCAGGCTTTGGTCTGTGAGGAAGAAGCAGAATCGTCGGTCTCCAGTATGTTTGACCTGCAGATCTGATTCAAAATTTCCACCTCTGTGTACTTGCATTGGGGCGTCTGAATTTGGTTACTTTCCTCTGTTTGCAACTGTTGCATGTGGGTGAGCACAGATTTCTGCAACTAAGCACTTGCGCTGAAATAGCATGGGGTCAGATGGATCTTGAGCCCATTGCATTCTGTCCCCAGAGTGCGTGGCATGTTGCAACGACCCTCACCATGTGCTGCTGTCCCATGCAGAGCTCCGAAAAGACAAGGGTGACAGGACGAGCAGTCAAGTCACACCAGGAGCCGTGCTGCAGCAACAATTGTTGCAACAACAGCAGCAGCAACAGCAACAACAATTGCTGCAGCAACAGCAACTGCAGCAGCAACAGCAACTGCAGCAGCAACAGCAACTGCAGCAGCAGCAACAACAACAGCAGCAGCAACAACAGCAGCAACAGCAACAGCGACTCCCGCTTGCAGAGCCTTTCATGCGTACCCCCGAACGGACGCCTGAGGCATACAATGGGTACCAATCCACAGCCAGCAGGGCTGATGTTGGGGATGGGTACCGAACAGGAAACTCGGTGACTGGTGGTGCCGACACCAGTCTGCGCAACAACCCATCAGGTGAGTGGCAATTCCACAGGTCCACATAACGGTTTTTTCCTGGCTGTGTGCAGGGCTATGACATGAAGTGACCTTAGGCCCCATAAGTACAAGTTGGCTGTACCTATGAAATTCGTGACCTTTCAAGCAAATGGGGTTTGGTACGCAGTAATGGACAGTAATTAACAGATCAAATCAGATTCGGCATAAGTGGTCTCAGTAGTCTGATGGAAACCTTACAGAGACAGATCGTGTTGATTAAGGTAGCGTTGGTTTGGGTTTGGACTGTCCTGCCACAGAGAACCCGGGTTCCTCAGCCTTGGCCTTGGGGCCTATCTTGGTTTGTGTTGGTATTGTTTGTTATTCAATTATGCATTCTAATTGGCGTTGCTTTCGTTTGTGCTTCTGTTTCTCTATTCTTTTGTTCCAATTTGTGCATACCGTTCTCTTTTAACACAAGTGTGAGGTGGGTGGGTGGGTGGAGGGCAGCCCTTGACATCAACATTTTCCTGTGCTGTGAACCATTTTACACACTTTGCACGTGTTGGCCACATTGCCTACCTTGTTGGCAGGCGAGGAGAGGTACCCAAGCATCATGGTGCATAGGAAGCAGCAGGCAGCAGCAATCTGAATGGAAGTATTTTTGCCATGTTCTCACCTCACGTGTTGCACTGTCGCTCACCATTGGAAACTGATCACATTTATCTCAGTGCAATTATAACAGTCGATGCCAGTGAAAGAACTGATGTTCCAAGCTAGGTGGCCCTGCATTTGTTTCGTTCCTATGATCTAGGCATTGTCAGGCAAAATTGCTGTGCTCATGTTGCTGATTGTGGCTGATTGTATAGTAGGGCTTGGAGGTCCAACTGATGGGAAGAATGATCACTTTTGGCACATGCACTTGAAAGAATTGTCACTGCTGCTGTCCTTGTGCTGCAGGCATGGCTGGGCTGGAGATGGACAATGGCACGTATCAAGAGGCCCCGCCACCTGCGGCTGAGACGCAAAACCACCACCAGGCCTTGCAGCCACAACAGCAGCAACCATCCCGGGAGAGCAGCATGTATGGCAGCCTGTATCACAGGGAGAGCACTGCAAGCCAGAGAGACGATGCTGCACAGCAGCAGCAGCAGCAGCAGCAGGAGAGGGAGAGCAGGGAGAGGGACAACAATCCATTCATGAAGGATAGCAAAGAGGCAGGCGGGGGGCTGAGGGAGCAGCGTATGCAGGATGCAGAGCTGCTGGCGCAGCGGGATGAGCTCATGAATGCCATTCTAGAGGTGGGCTTGCGTCTTTATTTTTCTCTTTTCCAAGTTGAGGGATGGGTGTCGAAGAAAGGAAGTACAAGCCAGTCCAAGGGCATCCTTTTCTGGCAGACACGTTCAGAAACCAACAAGAGAAGCAGACTTGGCATTGGTTGTGCTTCTGCTTTGTGTGCCATTTGATAGGAGGATATCTTCCTGGTGCTCATTTAATAAGAACACTTCCACGGATTCGCCCATCAGAGGCGTTGGCATTGATTTATATGTTCATGCAGGGGGTTTGGTCAGCATTCATTTCCTGGCTCTTGTTTCGAATGTGTTGCAGGTGGCCATAAGTCCCAGCACAACCACCAGCCATCCAGCCACCCACTCATACCCTGTCAAGTCCTGCTAACAACATCCACAACTCCGATGTGGTCAACAGCCTGCTGGGCAACAAATGACTTGTTAATTTCAAAGCATGCATAGTAGCAAATACAGTGCTGCTGAGCAGCAACTCCACTTTCTAGTTCCATGGGACATTGAAACAAACACACAACACTATTTGTAACATGTTGTGAACAACACTTATGTCATTAGTTTGGGCTTGGGCATGGCCATGCATTGCTTTTGTTTGGGAGCTTGCTCTGCCATCAGGCTTTGAGCTCAACAGAACATTGCACTCTGAAAGAAAGGAGGGAAACCTGGGAGTGTTTGTCATGCATTCCCTTCAGTTCCCAGAAGCACTTTGCTCACGAATCTGGAATCTGTGAAGAGTTGCTTACACACGATTCTAGCCTTGCACTACTGTACTTAGTGACTGGCCAGTACTGCAATGGGCACGTTCCCAATATGTCTTGTCAGTTGGAACATTCTCCCAGCGTATGGTGTGGTCCCTTCCCCTAGACACCAAAAGCTACCGCACAGTCAGGGTGCAAGGTGCCGTCCCCATCCAATCACAAACGAGGTGTGGCTCCACCATTCGGGGACTTAAGAAATATATCTCAAGAGAAGGAGCAAAGAATGAGTGCATTGTCACAAGGCCGAAATGCTCTTGTGCAGTACATTGTACGAAAATGGGCGAGTCAAGCCCGAGCAACTGGAAGGCGCTGCAGGGTGCCGCTGTGGTTGATCCCAAGAGTTGACCGCAGGTCCACGAAGGTTGGCACCCCATGGTAACTTGGTAAACATAGACAGTTGCCATCGCACAAACTGCCTGCGTGCAAATGCCTGTGTAATCCACTCTGTGTGCCGTCCACTTTGTTGTGCATGCTTACTGCTCGACATGTCATCTGTTGGTTTGTGCATTGTTTGTTGGAAATGCAATGAATGAGTATCAACTGAGGTAATATTGCCCATAGTGAATTGTGTTTATCTGGGTGTGCTTCTTGCATCTGCACAATGAAGCCTCCAACTGTGATGCGATATCCAGGCCATGGTTGTTGTGGCCTGCAGTGCGCAATAGCACACAGCCTGACAGGATGGCCCATGTCCATGCTGCTGCATCCCGCCCCACCTCAAAGCGTGAATGTACAAAGTTATCGATTTGTAGGCTCAAATCGAAGAAGCCCAGACCATCGGGCATCGAACCCACCCCAGCAAACAGTGTTGGAATTGCGCTCTTGTGGCACCCAAATGTTTGCCCCCACCATCACTTGCACATGTTGCGAATGCAACCATGAGTGATTGCAGGCTGCACAGGCCCTGCTTTGTCTTGCAGATGCCATCGTCGCCCAAGGGTGTAGTGGCCCTCGCTGCCCAGCCATCGTCAAGTGCCGATCTCCTTCTGTGGTGTGCAGGATGAGGAGCAGCTGATCAGCTCACACCGGGCCCTGATCGAGGAATCGATGGAGGTGGTGAGAAAGGAGATGACTTTACTGAGCGAGGTGGACCAGCCGGGCAGCGCCATAGATCAGTATGTCGAACAGATGGACGCCATCCTGAATCACAAGATAGACATGATCCAGCAGATGTCCGGCCGCCTCGAGGCGTTCAAGCAGAAGCTGCGGGAGGAGGAGGTGCTGAGCCGCACCATTGGAAGGAGGCGCCTGAGGCCTTGAGGCCCGTGGGGAGCAAAACAGGGATTGGAAACTGAAGGGGAAGAAAGAAACGGGCAGGGGCAGGGAGTAGGGCGGGCGCCACTCATTGCTGATTCATGGTTGAGAATAAATGACACACGTTTGGTGGTCTTGGTGGGTGGGAGGGGAGGGGCGTCCCAGGGCTTTTGTGGCGTTTCTGTCGTTACAGGGGTTGATTCATGGCTCGTTGTCACGTTGGACTCTTTGTTTCAGTGGGGGGCAACCAACTGAAGGGGCGCCGATGCTGGACACCACAGCACTGCACTACGAAGGTGGATGCATGCAAGGCGCACATGCATCGTCCAAGACTCTGACGTCGTTTTGTGGTAGGGCTGGACCTACTCTTGGTCATGCCAGGACTGTACGAAGGTGGGAGAAATGTCCCCTTCCCCCGTGAAGCCTATTTGGATTTGGGGGTGGAGATAGGCAGCGCAGGGATGCCATGTGTACGTGTGTGTGTTCGTTCGTTCTTGTGTTCCAGCTTCAATGGCCGTGCGGCAATCAGGTGGCAATCAGGTATTTGGTGCCTGTATGGCGACATTCGTTGCAGACCGTCGCTTGTTAGCTCTCCGTGTAATATTTCAATGTTTGCTACCCCAACCATAGTGCCACCCACCACTCCACCAAGCTGGAGCATTTGCATCCCCTTACTGAGAACCAGGCACCAATCCTCAAGGCCCTCGACCTGCCAGTTGGACCATCCTCCGACTCAGGCAGGCTGTGCTTCCCACATCAGCGTGTGCCATCACGGTTGTGGGTGAGTCGTGCGCACCAGCATCCCCTCCTGCATCAATGGTGGCCCTCATTCTCCCCAGACGATCGCTTATCCCTTGAATTGCAAACGCCCGGGCCCCAAGAAACTGGCAGCACAAACCAAAAAGAAGGACCCCCCCCCCCTTCCCCCCCCTTCCCCATTCGTCCTGCAACGCCGCCAACACAACCAACAAGTTCCCTGAACCAGAAAACCCACATGGCTGCGGGTCTGCAAGTTCCACACAGTTTCCACCCCTCCCCTGTTTTTTTTCCCTTCCCTCCCAACCGAGCCCACCACCTCCCAACCATGCTTCCCGCCCAGTCCAGTCACAACCGCAAACCCGCCAGGCTATCGAGCTGCAGCTGGCGCCTCAGTCGCCCGTTCGCTGCCATGGCGCGTTCGCTTGGCGCCCCTCCCCGTTGTCTCCAGCTCCTTCAGGTACTGCTCATCAATATTCCCCGTGACGTACCTCCCTGTGAAGCATGATGCGTCGAACTCCTCAATTGTGGGGTTCAACGCCTGTCCAGCCTCCACCAGATCTTCGACCTCCTGGTAGATGAGGCCATCAGCGCCGAGCACTTGCTGGACCTCTGGGACCGACAGGCCATTGGCCACGAATTCCATTCTGGAGGGCATGTCCACGCCGTACACGTTGGGAAACTTCACAGGTGGAGAAGCACTCGCGAGGTACACCTGCGTGGGCACACAATAGGAAAGTTGTGGGGAAACGAAAGCAGCACAATAAAAGGGGGAAAAAAGGAGCCTATGGCCACCTCCTTGCCAGAACGCAGATGTCTTGATTGAGTGGACAATGCCATTCTCGAGGGTAGAACAAGGGAACATAGCAGCAAAGGCAATGTGGCCAGTTGCTTTTGTGCACATCGGTCTAGTGCATCGTCGGTAGCAGCTGGCAGGACCAGTGCTGAAAAGTCAATGATGTGTAGTTGCCACTTAGATGTTGCACACTTCCTCTCAGTTTCGTTCATTTCTGAAAACATCCTGTGGTGGCTTTGGCTGCAAATAGGTTCTGGGGATCTGGAAAGCGCCAAGGTGGTCAAACATACCAGCGTTACCACCAGTAACGGTTCATTAGTAGCCTGCACCCCTTTGCCATCTGGCTGCCTCGCAGAAATATTGGAACGATTACAGGCCCAGAGTCTGTGTCACACATGTTTCTGATCATGCATGGCTGTTCCTTCAAACAACATATTAATAGCCGTTTGTGCGATCAATGACTCGTTACGCAAAATGGCATAATACATGCCCAGTCTTTTCTTTCATGGGGGTTCACAATCCCCTGTCCCCCCCGGAGTTGAACTTCAAACGCTTTCACAGGTGGGGATGGCTCCATAGGCGTTGTGGTATATTCTATATCTGTTGTTCGTCCCCTCACTCAGAGGGACAAGAGGCGTGGCTGCATTCTTTTGGGTCGCGCACAGTGTCCAAGGCATGGCTGTTCACTCCTTGGCCTCAACAATCATCACATTCACTGTGCCTCACCTTGGCTGCTCCAGCGCTCCTCACCATTTCCACAATCTGACTCATCGTTGTGCCCCGGACGATGGAGTCGTCTATGAGGAGCACCTTCTTGTCCTTGAACACCGCAGGCATGGCATTCAACTTTCGCCGCACAGACACCTCACGTTGCTGCTGGTCTGGCATGATGAACGTCCGACCCACATACCTGTTTCACACAAGGGATTCATGCACATTGCATGAGACCATTGAGCAGACCAAGCGGATTCTTGCACATGGTTGGGGAAAGCTGTTTCGTTTCACAAGATGCAATCCAAGTGGGTTTTCAGTCGTTCAGGAAAGAACACTTTCCAAATGGGCTGGCTATCAGCAGCTTGTTTCGATTGAGAGAAATAGTGAGGGCAATTTGTGAGCCATTTTTTGACAAGAATGTCAAAGCAAGGCCCTCACACATGCAAAGTGAAGATGGCGATTCTCTTATCCACAATGTTCAAGATTGTTTGTTCATTTCACCTCAGCCATAAATTCAGGAAAAGTACAGAGAAAATAGACAGGACGGATTAAGCAGGGGAGGCAAGAAACCAACCCAAGGGACAGTGGGGACTGTGCGTGCCTGTTCTTCACAAGGCCCTCGCGGTAAGGCAGCCCCAGCTCCGCTGAGACTTGGATGGCAGCTGGCCGTGATCCATCAGGCACAGGGACAACCACATCGATGTCCCACCCAGTTGCCCTGCGAGTTTGCAATTTTGTGAGTGTCCGCAGCCAGCCACCAAAGCATAGATGTACAGAATGTGTGAGACATAGGTTAGTCCAGTTGCGAATCCATCTTTGCACAAGAGACTGTGACAACCAGACTGTGTTTTGTGTTGCTGCGGTCAGTGTTGTGCTGCAAGAGCCCAATTGGACACGTGCTTGACACCAGCTGGGAGAATTTCATGACTGCCCTGTGTTGAAATTTGATGCTACAGCTGGTGGCAAGTCTCCCCATGCAATGTATCAGATCAAGAATAAGGACGAAAGCCGTCGTCTGCAGCTGTCCAGAAAGGCAGTTATGGATGCCTGCTCCGCCATAAAGAGGACAACAGGTGTGGCTGACTTGGAATGCCCTGAAAGCTGATCAACTCTGTCTGCTGCATTTGGCTTTTTTTCTTGTGCGCAGTATACTCTTGATGGCATTGCTCTCTGCCAGTTTGGCAACGTGCTAAAGGCACACAGCTTTGGCAGTGTTCTGCACTTTGCATGCGCAAGTTCACTTGCTACTTGTGTTGCTCATTGTTCTTTGTTTCTTCTCTAGCGCTTGGCAACTTCCACAACATCTGCACACAGTATAACAAAGGACTTGATTGTTTGGGAGGGTTTGGGAGGGCGCGCCTGCCATCTCTGTTCTTCTTTCTTGACAGCCATAGTTATCAGCATTTCAGCAGTCCAAAAACAGACGATGCTCCTGAGCCACGCATTCGATGATGTTGCTAGCATCAATTTGAGACCTTGATTCCCACATATCCATAGCCTGTCGATATTTCATGAGAAATAATGCAACAGCAGCAGCATGAAGGTGACAGGGACATCCACTTCACTCCAAACTCCACTGTGAACGGACAATCCACCAGGTCTGGCGCTTGCAGTTTCCGCCAAAAGACAGGAAAAGCACCCTGGAAAAAGTGTCACCATGCACAATGCAACATATGCTGTGGAAAACGACTTCCATGCTCAACTACAAGCCCAGCTCTGTGACTATTTCAAGATCAACTGATGACACTTGGTATACTACCTATGCCACCTCTCAGGTGCTTGGGCAATGGTCCATTGAACTTCTGACAATTGATAACGTCTCTTGACATACTGTCATGGCTGTGGAATTCTCCGTTAGTCCCCAACACTGAGGAGCTGGTGTCATACAACAGGGGCTGTGTCCCGCTCTGCACCCCTATCACCTTGCTGTGCATGTCTCAAGCAGCTTTATAGCCCCTCGATTTGTGTCATACATCTGGTCACCAAGCCCCCTCTGGCAGCGTAGATCAAAACTGCAGCACAGCTGCGAGCCACCCAACAGCGGCACTCACTTGATTCTGTCAGCCAGGCGCTTTCCCAGCGCCAGTTGGTAGTTGTACACAGGGATGTCGTTCAGCACCGAGTCTGGCCTTGACAGGTATATGTACTCAAATATGCAGGGGCACAGCTTCCCAGCAGCACACTGTCGGCTCTCAAAGGAGCCATCGGGCTTGATGATGAACATCTCCCCAGGGCGCAGGTCCCGCACGCGTGTGAAGCCGATGGGCCCAAAAGCGCAGTCCTCTGATGCGACACACCACTCGTCACCCAGGGCAGAAGACCGATGGCCGAGGACCAAAGGCCTGCAGCGGAAGGTGGTGCAGCACACAATGGCACAACGTCGGGCACCCAACATGGGATGAAGTTGGAACAGCAGTGAGTGCCGCGTGCCACGCAACTGCCACTTACACAGAAGCTACAAGCAACCAAAAACTGTGGAAGCGACACACCTCTCTGCAAGCAAGATCCATAGGGCAATCTGTCACAGAGCTTGCGGCAGAGTCTTGACATGGTTGCAGTTTGGGACAGAAATTTATGGTCCCTACTTGTGATATGCATACTATAAAGAAAGCAAAATAAACAGCAGCAAGACATCCTGCAGTGTGGTCCCAAACGTTCTCTGTTACATCGCATTTGAAGATCCTGGTGGCAATCTCGCCCTGACAAAAGAATTAGGTCCCGAATCGTTGTCCGTTGTGATCAAGCAAGGGATGCAGTGCCACTCAGTCCTCTGGAGGTCACCCAACCCTTGACTTATCTGAACTGCAATTCTGGAGCTGCTCATTAGATCTGCCAAACTCTCTAGCACATGACAACCCACATGTGCATCAAGCACATGGCCCACCCTCTGGTCAGGGTGCCATAAGAGACAATGCTCATTACCAAATGCATCGATGTTGTCACGATAGCGCATCAGCTGGCAGGCAATTGTGACAGTACAGGCCTGGATAATAGCGATGTGGACCAGTCACCACATGACCATTACGGGGCTCAGAACATGAAACACATATGCGCTCTCTGATTGAAAACTCTCCAAGGGCCTCACCAACAGGTTAAACGCTGACACAACAGAAAGTGAGGAAGGACTGCTTTTTGAATAACAGGTGGGACACTCGACGGAGAATGACACTTCAAAGCCCTAGTAGAGTTCAACAACAGTGCCGGCACCTTTGTGTCCCCAGCCATGATGTGTTCTTGTTGCAACAGTTCATTTCCACAATGCTGCATACTCCCACAAGGATATCACCAGCACATCCCTGCTGTTCTTCCTTGAACGAATATTGGCATGAACAGGAGGAGGCTCAAAAGAAATAGGCACAAGATCACAGTTCCTTTCGACTTTTCCATCGGCACAAACAGAAAGAGCTGGATTCGAAGGGAGCAATCTAACCAGTGCGAGCGACAAGGTAGGCACTTTCCAGTACGTGTGAGAGTGGAGTATGCTGAAGTGCTGTAGGCAATTGCACAAGCAGTGGAGACACATGAGCCCAGCAAAACAGTGTCAAGATCATGACATCAGCCATGGTTGGACACCTTATGCCATAGGGATCTCGAAATGCTACCATCCCAATGCCCATCACCAGACTTATGCAAGCATATGCCCCATGGACAATCTTCATGAGCGATGCCCCTGCGTCGAAAATGAGGTCGCATTCTGTCATGGCAGCACCGTTGAGGCCACCCTGCAGAAACACCATGAAGCACACACCATGAAGTCAACCCAAGGGGGCGAAGCACCCTGCCAATTACGATGCTGGACATTGGCAAAAAATGACTGGAACTGCGTGTTGACCATTTTTGCATGCAATGTGCAAGATGTTTGTCTGTCATGATTCTCTGGCCCCAGTTATCAGTGTTCTGTTCTGACTACAAGGCCTGAACATATGCACGCAAATGTCAACAATAGGCAGGTTGGAGAATCCTGCAACCGCTTGACTTCTCAAGTCAAAAGGTGGTCTGAGCACATGTGTGCAAGTTCATGCGAACCTCATTTATTGGTTCTGTTAGAGAACATACGACAAGCAAGGCCTTTGAAGACAAACACAAATGGAGCAGCATCCAACTTGTTCCCCACAAGATCACATACCCGAAGGGACAAGGGAAGCCAGCTGCCAAAAATGGGATCAACCTCTGCCCTACATGACGAAGGGGCATTCCAACTATTCCACTTTAGGGGACAGGTGAAGCAGCGGACATGTTGCCCTTCTTTGCCTTAGAAATGCGTCTGGGCATGTCCCATGATCGTTGCAAAAAGTGGGCTAAGCAGATTTAGACACAAGACTGACCTGAACTCTGGTTTGATGTGCCCTGTGGATCTCGTCAGCGAACACGTTCAGCAACAGCTGCAAGGACAGCAAAACACACTAAGAACATTTGTTCTGAGGTGTTCCAGCACACTGAAGACAGGGAATGTCTGCAAATGGGATGACAATTGAACCGAACCAATGTTCCCCACGTGCCATGTGCCAAAAATGGTACAAAAAGACAACGATATACCTTAGCTATATAATATCCAAGCTGTGGTGTATGCCACATCTTTTATTCACTGCTGTCTGAAACAGAGCAATTCGAGTTTGGCAATGTCTTATCCCTCAACTTTTGTCTTCCAAGGGGCATCACAAGCATATGCAGAGGCCTCAGCTTTACTTCTTCAAGCCAGGGATGAGATGGGGCAAGGGAAACGCAACAACAATGGAACGAAAGTTAAAAATGTGCCAGCATTGGCACGTAGACACCTTTTGCACCACAATATCTGCTTGCTCAAACACTGTTAACAGCAAGCCTGGGAAGGAACTGGATGCTGCGAACAGGGAGTGCATGGCGAATCATCTGCTTTGCTATTTCGCTGCTAAACCCGGTATACACAAACAGGGGTGCGGCCCACCTCCGAGTCTGAGTCAGTCCTGAGGTGCCTGTGGAAAAAGGAGTTGGAGCTCTGCAACATGCGGCCGAGTTCCTTCGTGTTCGTCAAGTTGCCATTGTGGATGAGCGAAATGCCAAACGGTGAGTTCACAAAGAAGGGCTGTGCCTCTTGGTCTGTGGATGCCCCTGCGGTGGGATACCGAACATGTCCGATCCCACATGAACCTGGCAGCAGATAAGATGTGAGGAATGATTCTCAAAGGAGAAAAGCTGTCATAAGCTGAGCACCCCCCCACCCCCCCACCCCTTTGACAAGAACTTTCCATGCTGTAAAGGTGGTGCATGGTTCCTGCCAGTGGCGACAAAGGAACAAGAACAAGCACTGTGAATGGCAATAATCGTGTATTCAGCGAGGATTGCGTGCACAGGTGTGATGGAAACCGTTGAGCACAACACAGAGCAGCTTGAATACGGCAGCTTGAACAACATGTGCCTCATATGGGACAAACAGGCTAGGCCTGCCACACAGGTGTAATGGAGGACTCAAAATTAAACTGTTGCAATGAGCAGGCACTGGTTTGGAATTAACTCTCTGGGGCTAGTGACTTTCCCCTGCACACTGTGTTCACAGGTCCATGTGTCATACAAGTGGAACTTAATCATAGTGTAGGGAAAGCCTGGCACCAGACTCACATGCATCCCCTGTCTGATAGCATAGTAGCCCATGTTGCAGGAGCCCATTTGAATAAGTTCAGTTTGCATCAAACAACAAAACCCATAAAAGCCGTTGGCAGTATGGACATCGCAAGGACAAACAACTTGTTCAAGTTGGATTAATGGATACCAAGGCCAGCTCCTCACCCTTCAGCTTCTTGATGATTTTCTTGGATTCAAAGACATCCTTGACCAGGCCATTCCCCTTGTGCTCTTTGAACTTTCCCCAGTCAGTGGTAACCATGCCCGCAGAGTCTTGCCCACGATGCTGCAGCATCAAGAGGCCTTCGTACAGCTCCACATTGACGTTGCCATAATGCTTGAAGATCCCAATGATTCCACACATCTTGGTGCAGCTACGCAACCTGCAGAAAGTGCCTTGATGTTCAGATGCAAACGAGCTTGCCAAGGGCATTGCCGTCCCCGCATGGCAAAGGGAACAAGCCTTGAAATGGGGCATGCAAAACGCAGTCTGGGGGGAACGTCTGGCGCTCTCCCCCACAGATTCAATGCTGGCGCCTGCCATAAAAGCGACAGACAATGGCGGCGATTGTTGCACGCATAGCCAGCCTGAACGGACTTGCACGCCTCATTTTGCGTCCGAAACTGGGCAGTTTTGTCACGGTCACCCTGCAGCTGGCGGCTCCTTCCCTGCCGGCAGTCGGCCCCCCCACCCCCGCCCCGAGCAAAATGGCACACTATCACCGCTCCAACGGCAACACAGCGTTCAGTCAACGTTGTCGAGCGCCTGTCTTCCTGCCACGAGGGCTGGAGCTCCCAGCACAGTCGCCGCCTCACCCGGCCATTCAAAAGCGCTGCCTTGCAACCCGCGCCCTCCCTCCCCCAGGCCGCCAGCCCGCTGCCCGCTGCCCTCCCCAACTGCCTACGGCCGTCGCCCGACCCACCTGACCGCGCTCCTACCCCCCTTCCGCGCCACCAGCCACATCGATCGCAGCCCCCCTCCCAGCAGGCGGCCACCCAGGCGCGATCCCCCGCCGCCTCCAAGCAGGCCGGCAGCCGATCCCCTGTCCACCTTTGCGACTCGCCACGCTCCGCGGCGCGACGGCGCAGCCCACAGGCCCCGCTGGACGCCGGCCGCCCCCACGGGATGCTGCACCAGCGACATCCCGCGGGAACCTGGATGCCGCCCGCGTCTCCTCGACGATCTCGCACTAGTGCCGAGCGTCAATCGTCCAATCCCCCACGTGGGGCGAACACAGCGGCTAGGAATGGTATTGCAAGCTCGGGGCTAGCTGTTCGGGTTGTGGGGCGCGACGCTTGCCCGCGCCGGCCGACTGGTGCGCCGTGGGCGCCCGCCGCTTTTCCTGCCCCTGTGCTCCCCTTTTGCACCCGATGGCCGGCCGCCGCCAAATGGCCAAAGGGCATTTCTGTCACGTGCCTGGCGTAGTCAGTCGGCGTCAGCGGTTTGTCAACCGCCCCCGGCGTGTTGTCCCTTCGCAGCCCGCTCCAGGTCGGAGGCAGTTTTTAAAACGAAATAAAAAAAATAGCAATTGAGGAAAAAACGCATGACCACGAAATCGAAGAGCAAAAACATAATTAAGAATGACACATTGTGCAACTCGCGGAGCTCTTGCCGCTTTCAGGTCAATCCAAGCAGTGCCACAGATCAAGGCAAGGGGTTTCCCGTCTGCTCCCTGTTTTGCCCCAGACAAGAGCTTCCCATGGTTCCACCAGAGAACACCCACAGTACTGCACCATTGACCTGCATCCACGTGCTCCCAGCGTCCCAGGGGAGATTGACAATCACGGTGGTGCAACAGCAACATTATAATATTGCTGTTGTACATTAATGTACTTCGAGGCATAATCGAACGATGCCGAAATAATATTACTCCCTGCACCAAATCGGTGACTGCTTGCACCAAGTCACGTGCACACTGTGTCCTAACCTCAGTTTTAGGGTTAGGTTTAGTTTCAGGTGAGTATTAGGGTTAGGGCTAGGGTTAGGGCAGGTTTAGTTTTAGGTTTTAGGGTTTAAGTTTTAGGTTGGGTAAGTTTTGGAGGCAGTTGGTGCAGAAAGTCACCAATTTGGTGCAGCCAGTAATTGTGTGCCAAAGTTGTCCCCCTGCATTTTGCCCAAGGCCCCGGCACCACACACACACCCTGTGTGTCGTGTGTGGCTTCGGGTGGCTGGGTGTTTGTGCGGCCGTGCAGCGACCAGCACAGCGGCGAGTTGGGCGCGGGCGCCTCCGCCTTTGTGTCGGAGCGCCCTCTCTTTGATGGAACAAGGCCTCCGCGCGGGCTGCAGACCAACCTCCGTCGACATGCCTTTCCCCTGGGGCCTCCGCAGCGTCGCCGCGGGATTGATCGAGCCCAGCTGGTCCTCCCTGCGGCACGCCGGGAGGCGACTGCCACACTGCCAGCAGTGAGTTGCCCTCCCAAGTTCGCGCATTGCCGACAGATGCTGTCCCAATGTCGCCTATCGAATTCGGTGGCGTATCGGCCCCACCTGCGCGAGCGATCCTTCCACCTCGGGTTGCGGATGTCGTTTGCGCATGGCCGAATTTGTGGAACGCGAGGCGGGAAGCGAGATAGACACGTAAGTTGTGTGGATCGTGGGCCCTGCCGAGCTCCATGCATGTTTGCGCAGTGGCGATCGGTCTGCGCTGCTATACGAGGGCAGCCTTGTCAATACGCAGGGCAGGACTGCATGCTTACTTGCCGTGCCTGACCAAGGTATTGACGCCGGACCGCGTCCTCTCCCTCCAGCGAATCCTTATGTCGAAACATGCGCCGCAGCAAGCCATGTCTCGCGTTCCAAGAGTCTGCTTTTGGCCCGTCCCTCTCCTCTCGCGACGTGCTCTCGACGCTCGCCCCCGACAGGCCTAGCGGCCCCGGGGCAGAAACCAGGGCAGCGGTCCTCGTCCCATTTCAAGGTTCCCGCGGTTGCCTGGATACTCGATCTTGAGTGCCCATTCCTGCGTGTGCTGTGGACGCAGGTGGGAGCACGCCATCACACAGACACCGTTGGCCGGCCGTTGTGTTGCGCCCAGCCGCTCCGCCCGCTGCGAGACGACCTCCGCAGAGGCGGCATCTCAAGGTGCGCTGAATCTCGCAAGCGCCTCCTGTGTCGCGTTCATTCTATCAGAAGTGGGAGCCACGCCCCACCGACAATGCGGGGCAGAAACTCGATTGGCACAGGAACGGCGAGGATCTGTGGGATTGATGTTTCGTTGTTGAGGTGCGAAACGTCTCGGCTGCCATGCAACACCTGTCCCTCAAGCTCGATGCAGAAACAGCGCCATCAGACGCGACTGCTCTGTTCCACCCCGCTTGACGTCCTTTGGTACTGTCCTTGCCAGACGCCGAACCCACCCATGCTCATCGAATCCACGTCCACGGAGCCCTGCCGAGCCACAGGTGAATGAGGCGCGGGAGCTTGGGTCGCTACGCTGCCCGGCGGTCATTCCCTCTTTGCGCCATCTGCCTGGCCATGTGCGCACACGGTGTGCACTGGCTCTATGAGCCTCTGTGGCTTTGAGCAGAACATGTGCATGGGACCATTGCCCGACATCGCCAGTTTGTTGCTTGGGCTTTTTCTTTGCTTTGTCTTGTGGCAAATGTATTTGCAACGAGGATATAGGTGTGCATTGCCGTTGTATGGCTTGCACTGCTCCTCACAACCAGCCTGGCGCTTGCTGAGCCACTCATGCCCTTTATTGTGCTGCAGGTCGCAAGACACCTCGCATTTCGCACGCTCAGCAGTGTGCATGCCTGGAGTGCCCTCCACTGCCCCCTTCGCCCCTCCCATGTCAGATGCCCAACTTCAAGCACTTGTAGACTTCATCACATCCTGCCAGCATGTTACTGTGCTGACAGGAGCGGGCGTGAGCACTGAGTCTCGCATACCAGACTACAGGGGACCCGCAGGTGCCTACACATCAGGCTACAAACCAATGTCGCATCAGCAGGTCAGCCCCATCCAAAAATGTACAATGCGTTCAAGAGTAAGTGTGCCACCCCACAGCAGTGCGCAGAATTGTGCTCAACAGTCAGCCTGAGAGACATAAAAAGGTCGAAACCCAATGGTGCAGGATGGTGCATTGGGAGGCTCCACATCATCCTGCACAGTATGGACATGAGTCTCACTTGCATTCGCTCAGGAGGGTGCACCCTTTGTATGACATAGTTGGGGGGTAATGTATCTTGTGCAACTGTGCACAGCTCCTTGCTGTTGTATGACATAGTTTGGGGGTAATGTATCTTGTGCAACTGTGCACAGCTCCTTGCTGTTCACATCGCCTGTCTTTGTATGGTGTGTCTTGCCTGGCCTCATCTGGTTCTTCCTATGTGCACAACGTGTAGAATCTTGGCCAGCCTCTGGCTCCAACGAGCAGATGGCCTCCTGTGGCCATCTATGGAAGATGGTATTCAAGCTGAACGTGTCGTTGGCGTTGGTGCGGTGAATAGCCTGCATGCCACGTCAAAGCCGACACACATCAACTTGCGCAGATCTTCCATTCATATCTTCCAAAGAACTTAGCAACCAACGAAACGACGTCACTCTGTGTTGGACATGTAGTCAGTGACCAAAGGGGTGTGGTGCTTGGCAGTTCATGTCGGCACCTTCAAATCGCCGTCGCTACTGGGCTCGTAACTTTGCAGGCTGGAATGAGTTCTCCTCCAAACAGCCAAATTCAGCACATGAAGGCCTGGCTCGGCTACAGAGCCGGGGCTGGGTGGCCGACATTGTGACCCAGAATGTTGACAGGCTGCACCAGAGGGCAGGAGCCAGCAAGGTGCTGGAACTGCATGGGACAACGCACAGGTGAGCTTGGCGCTTTGCAAAGGGTTGAGACATCAATTGTTGGGGAAATCTGGACAGGGGCATCTTATCTTGGCTCAGAATTTCTGCACATACTAGTAGCGGCAAAATCGCTCATAGCCATGGCCGTCTGACCACGAGAGAATGTTTGTTAGACAAAAATCTTGTTGCGATGATACTGTTGTCATCGCCTTCAGTTACGGGAGTGTATTGTTGATGGGGATGTTGCAAAGATGTGCCCAGATGTGACATGCTGTGCTGTGCTGCGACGTGGGACAGGAAGGTTGAAGTCCTTTGCTTGCATGGATTAAGAGTTCCACAGACACCTGGAAAGGTGTTGTAGGACATGTTTGCAGCTTCAATGCTGTGGTATCCAGCTGCAGGTGGGGGCCAAGGAGAAAAAACTGTACATGTGTGCTGAAGGCAGACTGTATGTGCTGAAGTCCTGTATGGTGTGTGGCATGAGAGTTATCTGCACAAGCTGTGGGGTTGTCATCAGCCGGTTTGATCTGCAAGAAGAATTCAGCCGACTGAACCCCAGAGCACAGGATATTGTCAAAAATGGGACACCCGAACAGCGGGCCCAACTGCGAAGAAAATTGAGAGAGACTTATGAACCTGAGCCAGATGAGGTGGGAGCAAGCTGCTGCTGAACTGCAAAATCTGTGGCCAACCTCAGTTCTTTGTGTACCCGCGATGCCTTGTGGCACAAATTGGCAGGTGTCTCACCACTTTAATGGGTTCAACAGGCAGTGTGGCAGAGGGAACATTTTGCATGGTCTCAGGGGTGGTGGGTGATGCTTGCTTACTGTGGGGAAGAAGTTGATATTCTCTGAATTCGGATGTGAAAACTCGGGTCCTGTGATGCTGAGATTCACGTTGTCTATGGAAAAACCTAGGCGTGCCAGAGTTGTGCCCTCTGCAGAATTTCTAGTTTCTAAGATGGCATGTAAGCATCTGGCACCCAGACTGCACTCACACAAACATTGAAGGCTCATACAGTTGTGCATTGGACTGTGAAGTAAAGTTGTGGCTACCATATTGTGACAGTAAAAGGTGTGGAATCCACAGTGTGGATGGCATTGTCATTTACGGCAACACAGGATCGCACTGACAGAATGGTGGCGTGGGCGATTATGTTATTGGGGCATTTGCCACTGTTTGGTGTTGATTGTGTATTGGTGATATTCTGGTCTGAAAGAGTTCATCACACATTATTGGACCTGGTTTCTTGTTGGACGCACGGGAGCCACACAACTGACCCTGGACAAAGCAAATCTTAATTGCGGACTTGGTCACAGCCCATGTCCAACCCAGCGTGACCATTCCAGAGACAGACACTGGTTTCCTTTCCTCATCAGCCCTTCACCTCCATTGCATGCAGCAACGGTACTGTTGACCTGTTCAGTATTTTGTTGCTTCTGTGTGTCTAGATGCCTGCCCTTCATCAGAAAATGTGAGTGTGCTTTGTCACCTTGCAGCGATGAAAGGCGATGTGAGGTCCTGAAACACTTGACTGTTCTTTGACAAATGAACGAAGTCGAGTGTTTTTTGACACATAGATGAGGCCCAATGCACAGAGCAGTAGTTGTGTCAGCAAACGATGCTCATTTTTGATCACTCTTCGCCCATGAGATACGGTGTCGCCCATAGAGCCGGACAAGAAAATGCAGGCCAGTGTGGTGCATACACGTATTGTTGCATTGTGATTGCCCAGCTACAGCGTCAAGGCTGGATGCCACCACTGTGACCTAGACGGTTCCATTTCATACAAAACACCGTCCTCACTGCATGGCTTTTGTACAGGAATTCCTCCAGGTACGTCCAGACGGCGATGTCGAGGTGATTGGATCAGGTGAAGGATTTGTGGTACCCAGCTGCAAAGGCTGCGGTGGAGTTTTAAAGCCGGATGTGGTCTTCTTTGGGGACAACGTGCCTAAGCAGAGGGCACAGAGGTGAGTCACAGATCCTCGCTGACAGTGCATATCAAGAACTGATAAATCAAATGGTGCGCAGTTGCCTTCGCAGAGATGGACACCAACATGAATCCTGTCAGTAGTGGCGGAGCAATTCAGACAGGCAGCAGTCAGCAATATTTGCACATGATCGCAGTGCATGCCCTGTGTGTGGTAGTTCGGGTATGCAGCTGTGGTGAGGATGTGACAAGGTTGATACATAGTACAGGCAGGACAGCATCTGTTGCGCGCCTCCCTTGGACAGCTTCTACAGGATTTTGCCCAGTGCATTCAGACAAGTCTGTCGATTCATCCAAGATGGCCTCTTGATTGTCAGATATCCATGATGACGAATCATGCACTGGAATGAAAGCCATCTTGTTTGGGAGGGTTCAGGTGTCAGAGAATTTGCCAAACGGTGGCGCCCTTTTCAACTTCTCCCTCGCGCTTTTGTGAACCACGTTTGGCTGATGTCTGCAGCTCACACATGGCCATGTGGCTTTGAAGGGCACTGTCGCTGGTCGAAAGCGGCGACGGCCTGCTAGTGGTGGGGTCCTCAGTGATGGTGTATTCCGCCTTTCGACTGGTAAAGGCGGCCAAGGCGCAGGGTGCTACCATTGGCATCGTCAACGTTGGTTTGACAAGGGCAGACGACATTGCAGACGTCAAGGTGTGCTGGCATCGCATGAGGCAGCCAGTTTGTGTCTCACGTGCTTGTCCTATGCGTTCTGAATCTTCTGCGTCATTTGCGCAGTGTTGACGAGATGCTCAGACGCTGGAAACTGCTGATGCAATGTTGGCTGTGTGCCGGCCAGTGAAATGATCACAATTCGCATCTGTTCTTCACACAATGTGATTAAAGTCATCTTCATGTGGCTTGTCGCTATCGTCCTGGTACCTTTCTTGTGAAAAGGAAGCTTGCAGTGTCCCTGTGCAGGCTTGCCTTGGAAATCCTGCCTATGGGCAGATTGGCACCACGTCATTGAGGGGTCCAAATCTCTCTGTGTGGTCCGAATTCGGACTTTGCTGTCTCCTTTGCTGCACCGTGTTGTCACGAATCCTCAATTCCCGTCAGCCCTATTGCCGTTGGAAGATTAGTTGCATCGGAAGGAAGATGTGCCAAACGATGGTCACCCCCAAGACTGCTGTTGCCATTTGCTGTTGATTGTTTCTGTTCCAGGTGGAGAGGATCGCTGGGGAGGTCCTTGCGCGCCTCGCTGCCCATCCGGCACTCCTCACGTCGCGACCAGTGGCCTGGTGAAAAATTGTTGGCGGCCGCCGGCATATAGGGGGCTGGCCCCCACCGCTGGCCACTTCTTGCCCTCCTCGCCCATTCTTGCCCTCCTCGGCCATTCCGCAGCCTTCCCCACACGGTGCCCACAGCCCATTCCTCTGCTGGCCGCACCTCGAGCAGCCTGTCGCCAGTGCAGACATGGCCTGTTCAGCGAACCATCGAAGCAGATTGTTGTTGGCGGCACGTGGTTGCGAGGATGCGACACAATGCTGCACGCGCAAGCTCCGTTCAATTGCGTGCCATGCACCGGTTCGATGGTTTCCGTGATCAAAGAGTCGCGGCCAAGAGGTAATTGCATGTTTGGAACGTCCCTTTGCCGCCTTGGGCTGACGTGATCGGGCCACGTTTCGTGCAATTGCCAAACTCAAGTGGAGGCATTGGGGATGTGCAGTATGCATGTGTATGCTGGATTTCCAACGTTGCAACAAAAGCGGGAACTTCAACCTGTCGTCCTGCTGGGCTGTCATCGCATTGCCCGTGGTGGACGGGGCGCTTTGTTCTGATCGCAGTGGGCTGCAGGATGCATGTTTGAGCGCTGCTGCCGCGACGCTCAACGAGCTAAACTATGCACAAGCCGTGCTGTACATTGTTGACAGAAAACAGTCGCTTCTCGTCGATGGATTATATGGGTCGTGCCGCACTATTGTTGGAATTAAATGGAATCAAAGAAACACCCCAGCAGCGCCGTCCGAAGCGGATGGCACAGGCCCGCGCCCTGCAAATTCGCTGACGCCTATCAGTCGTTGCCTGGTAGAAGAGAATTTAGTCTCCTAATGTACACCCGGCAGACATCTGCGGCGAAGCAATGATTGCCAAACTGTAGCTGCTGCAAATTGGTCAGTCTTCCCAAATGCACCAAACCCGAGCTGGTGAAGCGAGAAGCCGATATGAATCTAAGCTCCCTCAGAGTTGTCAGATGACTCAAATGAAGGAGCCCTGCATTCGTAATCCCCGTGCACCACGACAAGCGCAAATCCTTGAGATTCCTCAATTTGCCCACGTGGGTCAAGCCATCGTCTGTGATGCCCTCGCATCTGGTGATGTGCAACACTTCAAGCGACGCCATAAGCCCCACATGGGCAAGGCATGCATCCGTGATGTTGCGATGACCACACAGATGCAAGTTTTTGAGGCTTGTCAGCTTGCCAATGTGTGCCAAACCCAAAGCCGTGAACTCGTCATGCCAGCTCAGGTACAGCGACCGAAGGAGTTTCAATTTGGCAACATGCTCCAAGCCTTGGTTTGTGGCCCTGTCAAAGTACCCGACTTTCAAATCTTCCAGGGTGGTCAAATTGCCCACATGTATCAAACCGTCATCTGTGATTCTCTCGCAACATTCCAAATTCAGGTCTCTCAAAGCCGTCAGGCCGCGTAAGTGGGCCAAACCCCCGTCCCCGACTCTGCAGCAAAGGTTCAAATCCAAGCGCACGAGGTTGACCAATCTCCCCACATGGGCCAAGCCGGCGTCCTCGAGGATTCGACAATTATGGAGATCCAACCTCCGGAGGCCGCGAAGCTGAGCCACCAGTCCCACGCTCTCTTCGGAGATTTCCAGGCACCCGGCGAGAGTCAATCCCTCCAGACCCCTCAAATTAGTCAAGCACGCCATGACATGCTCGGTCACCCAACACGAATACAAGTTCAGCTCCTTGAGGCCCGTCAGCCTCCCCACCTGCTTCCAAACCTCGCAACTGAAATCGGCGCCATGGAAATCCAATCGCGTCAATCTTGCCAGCCCCGCCAAGCACGGTGCCTCTTCACACGACAACTGCAGACTACGCAGCGTCAACGCCTGCGCCCTCTTGAACTTGTGGGCGACTGTTTGCATCATGTCGGCAAACGTGGGCCCACGCTGGCTCGAGAGACTCAGGTGCGTAGCAGCTTCAGAGGCTCCCTTGCACCAGTGCCTGTTTACCAGCCTCAGCGTTCGCATCTTGGACTTCAGGCCGCACTGAGTGCGCCCTTCCGGATTGTCGTCAAGCCTTTCTGATATGTTATCTATGATTGGAAACGGGATATGGCCCCAATCTGCCTGGCACAAGAGCGACAGAGCTGTGTTGAACCTCCCTTGCGCAACCCAGGTCGCCACAGCAGTGGGATGTGCATTGGCAAGAACATAAACTGCGAAGATTGTGGGACAGCCACAGCAACACAGACGCACAGCAAAGTACTGTGAGAATCCTTACAATGTCCGCATGTGCCAGGAACTGGTAGGGTGGGGAGGGAGAGGGGTGTCGCTGGTTTCCCGCACCAACAAACACATCTGTTTGTATCTGCAAATCGGCTGGCTTTCTTTACATCACTATCATTGATACCTGGGCTCGGAATTTTGGACTGGGGCATCGTGTCACTATGGTTGATTAGCAGACTTTTGGGCAAAATTTTTTTGCTACCTGTTGCCAAGGTACAACACTGGTGACACATTTTCCATGTAGGGTGATTTATTGCCAGTACCGTCAGTGCACAGAATTTCATTTTGACAACCCCTGTTGAAAGAGGCTCTGGATTGTCAACACAGGGCTCAAAGAAGCTTTTCTTTCTCTGCTATGCTCTGCCTAGCCACAGGCAACACCCAGACCACCATGCAGTCCTCCCAAAGAAATTCCACACAGATACATGGCTACATATAGGATGGGCCTAACAATGGCCAGACCACTGGTGATTTGCAACTTGCAAAATACGCTGGTTCACTGGCATTGCAATGAACATCAAGCGAGGCAAGCAAGCAAAGGATGCCAAGAGCAATCTGGCCACATAGGTGACTGCACAATTGTCCAATTCAATCCAGTCAAACGATTGTGGGAGGTGACCAGTCCCCTTCTTGTTCCTGGGGAACTGTTCTGCTACCTACTCTTTCCATTCTGTGAGTGTGGGTTGGCAACACTTGCCCTGCGACAAATGAAGAGCAGTCACTGGCACAAAGAAGCATGTTTTGCATGGCAAGCAGCATTTTCTGCAAAGGTACTGTTTGACACCACAAGCCTAGGTTCCAAGCACTGCACAAGAGGGAGACCAGTTGTGACAGAGCAGCGTTTCATACCATGGGCAGGGCCCTCCCGGACAAAGATGCTGGTGAAATGCACTTCCCCGCCACTAAAGATGATGTGGATGTTCACGAATGCAAGGGAAACCACGAAGAAGAGCAGCACATATGGAAAAGATGCATGCTCTCATGGTGCACTGAGCATTTGAACTTGAGCAATGAGGATTTGAACCACTGAGAAAGCCAGTGTATATCCTGTGCACTGCATTACAGTAAGGTGAACTGGCAGAGCCAGGTGCATTTGGTGGCGTTTTGTGACAATGTCAGCAGCAGGACACAAAATTGCAGGCAGGGAATCTATTGGAAGGGAAACAAATCTCCTCAAGCCTGTACTCAGGATTGGAACTACAAGGTATTAGGCAAACAGCATGGAATTCTCCATAAGGATTTTGGCACCTCAAAAGGCCACATACTGGAAATGGGCCATGCTGCTTGAGTAGTTTCAGTTATCTGCCTTCAGCACAACCAAGACACACTAAAGAGCACCTGGCCAATACAACTCCAGCATAGCTGTTTACACACAAAATTTTCCAAAGAAAAACTAGCAGGCAGTATGGCAAGTGCATAAATGATCTTCTCAACTTGTGCAAGATTTGCAGTCAATGATGCCCCAGATGGCTTCTATCGTTCTGTGGGAGTGGATTACTCTTGTAGATGCTTCTGCAGATCGTCATATTGAGGCTTATATGTAAGAGGGAGGTGACTGGAGGCACATCTGTTCAATGTGCACACTGAACAGTGCAATCCTACGACTGTCCTACGACTGTGGCTGAGAATAACAGCACAACCATGTGTATTTGATGTTGGCTGACTTTTTGCAGAAACTTGCAGCATTTTGCATCAGAAACTAATAAACTCACAACACTGTGCCAAGGCAAATGAGACAAAATTTCAGCAAAAAAACGCTGTGGGCGTTTCACGAGATGTCGTTTATTCGCAGGCGTCGCTTGTGCTTGGCAAGCCAATGGGCCTGTTCTTCCGGTTTCGAAAAAGAATGGTGCATATCGGATAAGCCCCAGCACAGGGGCATCCACTTAAAAAATGATCCCCAGAACTTCAGCATCTTGCCAAATGCTAGGCACGTCGATTGACAGCAATCAGCAATGCCAGCCATCCGCGGCAGGCACAACTGCGTGAAACAATGCAACAGCCGTTCAAACTTACCACCAGAAAGCCCCTGCGGCAGAACAGTGGCGGATTCAAAAGGCGGAGACCGCGCTGCCTGGCGCGTCTATCCCTCCACGAATCAGCGCATGTTCGACGCTTGTGCAGCCAGCTGTCAGATGGGGGAACGTACGCCACCCACCCCCGTCGCCGCCGCGGCAAGTCAGGCTGAACGGCAACGCCGACCACTGCGCCACCACCGGGAAGCAGCAGGGCGTCCGAGGAGCAAGCCTGCGGGTCGGATGCAGTCGCCGACCAACCAAACGGCCCAAACTTGCGATACTGTCACCAACCACAAAGGGCCCCAAACGTCCTCCTAAAGGTACATAGAGCTAGGACCCAAACAGTTAAACAAAGTTAAGTAATTGATTTCAAAACGAAAAAACTACCTACCTAATTTTAATAAGTAATTGACCTTCGCGCGGGTCCACGTCAGCTTGTGCCTTCGAGATCGATCTGGTTGGGGAACATGCTCCCTTGCGACGCCTGTGCGCCTCTCGCCACCCGCGCCCCCTCCACCAAGCGCTCCCCCGGCCGCGACCACTTTCGTGCAGCCATGGCCGCGTTCGCGCGCTACGTCTCGCGCACTTCCACCCAGATGGGCCGCGGACTCGGCGGCGCATTGATGCCCAGCGTCGGCTTCCGCCAGGCCGCCTGCGCCTCGCGAAAGGTGCGCCATCGCTTTATGCACCCCGCGCCCTCCGCTGATTGCATTTGGGAGCGAGCCGCAAACAGCCGGGGCCCCGCGCTTAAGGGGTGGGGGTGTGCGCGGCGATGCGCAACTCGCGGGCGTCCGCGGTCGTTTGATCGACCCTGGCACGGCCCCCGGCGCGCGGCGCGACACGCAAGCGGCATTCTTCGATCTCTCGCGGCCGCCCGGCTCGCCAATTTGGCGGCGCGATTCGGGATCGGCGGATCGCGGATAGGCAGCTGTTCGAATTCTGACGATCTCCGGTTTCGTCGCTGTGTGGCAGGACTCCAGGAGGGCTTTCGGGGGCAGGGGATTCTTCCCCATCAGCGCGCTCGCTGTCGGCGACAAGGTGCGCTTCGATTGGGGCCTCGCGGCGCCTTCTCCGCTGATGTTGCCGTTCAATGTGGCGGTCGGTGCCTGATGCATCCGGAGGCTGCCATGCTTTTCACGCCAGTGCACAGCTGCGCCACTTGCCCAGGCTGGAAGTTGGGATGTTACGGGCAGGGAGATGTGTTGTTGCTGGCAGTCGGATCGCACGGAGAATCGAACGAGAGAGTGGTATGTCTTGCGCTGGTAGATCTGGAGTAACCTCTGGGTCCCTAGCCTCGAACGCCATCCCGCGAGTGGCGGAACAAGACGGGTGTGTGAGCATTCATTACCACATACTCGCCTGTTGGAACAAAAACGGTGCATCAGCGTTGGCACCCGTTTCTGCAGCGTTTGGGGAAGCCACGTGCAAGAACTCATCCCACTCGTGGCCAGCTCGGAAGCAGCAGAAACCGCAACCCGCTCATTTCGAGTGTGTCCTTAAGAGTTCCAGAAGAGGGCAGTGAACTCCAGAAAAGTGAAGCGAGGGCCCAGCAAGCTTGCTCTGAGCGGACTGGCAAGGATGTGGGTTTTCTTTCCTTGCAGTTGGCTCCTGTAAAATAGGGAACAAGTGACTGTAAGGGAGCAAACACTGATGATGGTGCTCCTTATGGCTGCAAGAGCATTGTTCGCCTAGCGCCACAACGAAACACAAAGTGCTTGAATTGCCAGAGTTGTGTGGGGACGTTTGCATAGTTGGCAAGGTATCTAAAGGGGATTGATCTCTGTGGTGGCAGTTGCCGTCATCCACGTTCAACTACTTCGACGTGGAGGGCAACATGCAGGAGATCACAACAGAGGAGCTCTGCAAGGGCAAGAAGGTGCATGCAGCTCCCCCACGTGCAAGCAAGTATATGCAGTACACATGCAGCAGAGTATTGTCCCATATTATCCTTATCCTCCTGATGCCAAACCCTGGTTCAACAATATCTTTGACAATGAGTGGTGTGGCTCTGCTTTGCCAAACCACCAAGTACTGAACAGAGAATCAATCAAATGACGCATTTAATAGGAAGGCAGAATCGGTAGATGTACTTGACCACAAGATACAGCTGCAATTTGGCAGTGTTGATGGTAAGGTCAGCAAGTACTCCCCCTTTGTGCTGCATGCTTTGTGATCCATGCAATTTAATGCCCATGAAGGGGTTATATCATTCCAAAGTTGATGATCTTTTGAACAATGGCAATGGCAATATCTATGACAGGGCCTGTTTGCAGAACTAAATTGGGCCATTAGGAATCTCGCTTAGTTGTGCAATGTGCCAGCTGTTTCAGTACCCCTAGTGGTGTTTGTGGTGAAATGGTGTTCATCACATCAGCCAGCACAAAGCAACGCACAACATGCACTAAATTACAGCAATTCTGGTCCAGAACGTTTGTCTAAATGCATAGCTGACTGCGTTGCTCAGCTGTTCTGGACCAAAGCATTGAAGGCAGCAATGCTTGTGGTGCAGGTTGTGCTTTTTGCTGTTCCTGGTGCCTTCACACCCACCTGCAGGTAATGCACAGATCCAGCATATGCCAATGGTTTGACTAAACATGTTGGAAAGCAATGGAACGTTGCCTGGGCACCCTGAAGGGCATCACAGTCAGAATTCCGCTGTTTGTCCCACCACGGTCTGTTCTTTCTGCTCACTTAGAAAAGATGCAGGAATTGGATTGGGACAGACTCAGCCAGCAGCTGATCATTGTGTCAAAACCTTCATTCCTCTAATTAACCCCCGTGATGGATTGCACATTGCTGGAACCCAGAATCAACCTGCGAATAGCAGAACTAATGTGCCAATATCTGTCATCACTACAAAGACTGCCTGAGGTGCAAATAATGCATGTTGGCAATGGTTATAAAAACACGCAGCGAGCACACAACAGACCTTGTTTCTTGCATCCTCAGCACTTACTTTAACTCTGATCAGCTCAATTTGAGGCAACTTGCTTTCACTTGAGTCTGGCTTGATTCTGCGTAGCACAGACTGGTTCAGTAATGTGCCTTTGTGGCAGAAGTTCAGCTTGCAGCGGCGGCGGCCATAGGAAGTTGAACGTGAATACTGGACAGCTGCTCACTCCCTGTGCCAGCTGTGACGCTGTTGGTTTGCATTTCCAAATTGGTCTAACCATCCAGCATTGTTTCGTTGCATCGCTGCTCAGTTTGAAGCACCTGCCTGGCTTCATCGAAAAGGCAGATGACCTGAAAGCCAAGGGAGTGGATGCCATTGGTTGTGTGGCTGTGAATGACGCCTTTGTGATGGACGCCTGGGGAAAGTCTGTGGGCAGTGGAGACAAGGTCATGATGTTGGCCGATGGGAGCGCGTTGTTTGCAAAGGTGCACACATACTGCTGTGTCAGAAACTCAGTGCGAACATCAAATGTCGTGTATGTGCAGCTTGATCAAATCAGGTGTTTATGTTGGTCCACGCTTCGATTTCGTCAAGGGTCGTGCTTGCCATGTCAGCGGTCGAGGCCTATTCCTGTTGTGTGCCAATATGAAGTATGTGTGTGACACAAGAAAGGTGCTGTGTCACCAACTCAAGCCAACGAGCTCTTACCCAAGGCCACAGATTACAGTCCATCCCTGAATTGAACTGGAAATGGTGCTGGCCTGCAAGGTTGACAGGTTGAGACTTGTGAAGGTGCATGGCCCGATGCCAGAGCGAGCGATTCCATGCTCCCAAGGCAAACAAAGCTCTTGCAGGGGACAAATCAACATTCTATGGGCTAAGGAAGAGCAGCTTGGATTGTGACACAACTGGGGACCTGTGCTGGTTGCTGCTGCAAGACGTACACTTCCAGTCCTGCAAGCTCTCTTAGGCAATGAGGCTATACCTATTCAACAGTGGGCGATGCGCTAATTCTGTGTATTGTCCTACAGGCCATTGGTGTGGAGCTTGATCTCACAGACAAGGGCCTGGGCATGCGGTCTAGGCGATATGCGATGCTCGTCGACGACATGGAGGTACGAATGCCAATCCACCCAGGACTTTTTGTAAACCCCTGTCTTACACAGCTACAGTTCAGCTTCCGATGCGACAGCTGCATGGTTTCTGCGTTCCTTGTCTCCCCTATTTCTTGCCTTCTGCTGGCCGCGTCAGAAGGCGGCCGTGATGGATCTTTGTTTCTGGCACTGCAGTCTGTATGCAAAACGCGGTTTCAGAAAATGCAGTCAAAGTTGTTTTCTGTTTCGGCTGAGAGATTGTATCCAAGCAGTTGTCTTTGGGAGGTTCCTGGTGAGCAATAGGTTCTTTACCACGCCACATTATTGTGACGCTCCCAGCACAGTTTGGAAGTGCAATTCGTCAGCCGCATTGCAGTGTTATGGGGATGTGCACGAAAATATGATGGGCAGAAGAAGAAACATGGTACCCAGTGGGCCAGATGGCAGCTCCCGATGAATGATTTCGTGTTATTGGCTAAGATCCCGCAAAACAACCCAAATTGCAAGCCGAGCCCCAAAGTTTCAAACTAGCCACAGCATTCCACAGCAAAGATTCCAACTTCCTGCACTAAACATTCTGCGAACCATGCATCCAATGAACTGGATAATTGCACAGGCAATGCCTTTCCAACCGCTTGACCATCGCTCTTGACGCCATGTTTTTTTGGTTCTCAGCCTCCTCATTGTACTCATTGAACCATTCTCAACTGTGCTGTGCCGCTGCCGGACCACAGGTCAAGGTCCTCAACCTCGAGGAGGGTGGAGCCTTCACAGTGAGCAGTGCAGAAGAGATCTTGGGGGCCTTGTGAGACGGCAGCATGACTCCAATTCTGTGTGGGTCGGGTTATGCGGGGGGAATGGCTCTAAGGCCAAGGGACATCATTCACAACAGGCCACCTGGCACAGAAGTGCTGGTTCCCAACGTTCCACGGGCATGCAATGCTGGCTGTCAGAGGCGACAGTTGATGTACCCCCGGCTTACTGGCTTAGTTATTGCTCTCCATAGGCGTTGCGATTGGAAGTGGTGCACGTGCAGTGGACAGGACACGTTGGTTCAGCGGGGCAGGTGGGAAGTCTGACGGGTACAGGCTCGTGCTTGGACTGACCGGTGTCACCGGGACATGCATGGCGTTGTCGTTTCTGTTGTTTGGGACAGTCCACAGCACTGTCTCGACATGAACTGAAAGCAAAGTCAAAGCGCTGATGTTGGCAGCGATGCGTCCAGAGGTTTTGTTGCAGCTCGATGCGTCAACCAATGCATGCCAGTTGCTACTCCAGTGCCTCCCAGGACATGCAGCCGCCCGAATACCCGCCCAGTCGCATTCGAAGCGGTCTGCCAATCGTGTACGCATGTATCATCTTACTGTGCCGCCTGCTAGACTTGAAGAAATGGCTGTGGGCATGCACGCAGCACTGAATGAGTATGAAATCCGCTTCTGGCTGCATATCCACGACGACATGACACACGTTTTGTCCGCGTGCACCCCAAGGAAACCAGTGGTGCGGGGACTTCATGGGAACCAGCTGGCCCAGAGCCTCAAGAGGACGAGACGCTTGATGACACAGCATTGTACCATGCTCCGCATCCCCCACCCCTTGGCTCTTCGGACGTGCACTTTGTGATGTCCTCCAATATGGCTATCACGACCTAGGGGTTTTCGAGCATCACACTAATTCTGCGAGGCTCTTGGCAGGAATTCTGCCCCTTTCAAAGTGGTCTGCCAACAGAATGTGAGGGCGGATTTCTGAATGATTGCTGAGCTGCCCTGCCATGCATTGGGCTCCTCCCTTTCCCTTATTTGGACTATCGCTGAATCCAAGTCGTGGTTCTTGCGCATTGGCACCAGCGCAACACACCAAACTTCTGATCAGTCTATTCTGTCACGTCACCCAGGTAGTCAATCGTGCACCCACACGAGTTGGCAACATGATGAAGGGTTCGCAATCCATGGATTCGGTATGCATGGCATCCAAGGCAGGTTAATCAAGGCAGGTGGATCTGACGTCAGCCTAATTTGATGCCAATGCACAAAAAATAGACTAATGAAAGGCCTCCATTTGTGTATGCCCTATGTGTTGGTGAGTCACGCCTTGTAACTTGTGTGCTAAATTTGCCATTAGTCAGTGGGCCACGTCACCCAATGACGGGCTTGTGATTGACAAAAGACGACTGACTGAGTGTCACTACAGCATGGACCAGTCAGCTTGACATGGACAGCCGCCCCGCATTGCAAAAAAACGAAGAGCACGCTGAAATATCTGCACAATATTGGTTGGTAGTAAGCAAGCATGGTCAACCCGTTTCTAGGCTTCAAAAGGAAAAGAGTGACATGGAGATATTGAAAACCACTCAAAGGCAGCACAGAAATTCTGCTCATACTTTTAAGGAAGTACTTTACGGCTTCAAGGACCATGCAAAAACGGTTCTAAAGCAGCACTATAAATATATGAGACAGATCGGATGATGAAATGTCAAAAACCTTGGGGGAACGCTGCAGAAATTTTCCCCAAATGCAGCTACTATGAATACAAGATAGGCTGGAGCATTGTGCACCATACTAGAGTACGAAATAAGGAAAAAGGGGGGAGATGCTCCCCAAATTTTGAAAAATAAAAAGGTGACAGGTCTGTGCAGCAGTTTGGGAGATAATCTAGACTAGAATCTATGAAAATAAAGGTGAAACAGCTGCTGAATATTGCATAATGATTTATCAATATGGACAATTTGATTTTGGTAAGAATCAAGAAGAGTTTGGATACAATAAGGCAGCTATTTTTCACCGGTTTGAGGTGCAATACATCAGACGCTGTGGCTAACAATGTTGCTGATGAACGGAATGGTATCAGGAACATGTCCTAGTTCAGGCCATGAGTACACAATAGTTTAGGAGGTTAATTCCATCGTATAGGGACTTATTGATTCGCAGAAGATGGTCCCTGGGCCATTGAGGGCTGTCCAATGTTATTGCCTTCAAATTTGAGAAACAAGCCGTTATGAAAGCTTGAGGAGTTGTATACAATGCTTGAAGAAAATTTTTGTCCGTCAGAGGGCTGGTCGACGGGTTGATTAACGTTGTATGCTATTTGAGGAATATTAGAGAATTGAATAATTTTCCTGACCCATAGTTTATTGATGGTCATATTGCCCGTTTGGACACAAAACTGGAGTTTGTATGATGGTCATTGAGATCCAATTTATAGCCACTTTGGACATGAATAGCTTAGAGGTATTTGAAGTATGTTTTGGGTGGTTGAATGGCCAGCATGTCAATACTCGTGGAATGTGACTATAGCGCACACCGCCTTTACAATATACTTCCTCTGTCCAGAATTAAATGAAACAATTTATTGACTGGCCACATTTATATCATTGATTTCGTCCTTTTCTTTGAAAACTGGACCAGAGCAGTCAATCTGTGCTGAGCCAATGCCATCAAAAATTCATTAGCAGAAAATAAGATTCATGCACTAGGTAGTACTTTGAAGCCACACGACTAAGGCCTCAGATTTGAACATTCGCTGAGCCAACCAAACAGCAGGGTGCCGTGGATCGAGCAAAACCCCACGCATGAGTAATACCCCTTTTGGTGGCCGTTACAGTACTAGAAGGACAAGTTCCCTCATTGCTTGGGCTCTAACTCAGAGATCGACACCCTTCACGAAGGAAGATCGGCACAAGTGGCGGCTAGGTCTGCCCATCGCCATAAGTATTTGTGGGCAATCCACGCCAATGTCCATGGTGGCGCACCAGCATGTCTGGGATTGGCATTGCCAATAGGTCCCCTGTGTCCTCATACTAGCTGTAGAATAGTTATATGCATCAAAAGCTCTTTGCTTGGAACTGAACTCCAATTGATAGCTTGCCTAGCATGGGGAGCACCACCACTCAAGCGGGGATCAGTCCCATCAAACACAAGGAAGGTGGGTTTGGATGCTCAATCGGAGGCCCCAAGTGTCTCTATGGTAATGTTCTTGCATTTTCCGATAGTGCCCACAAGAATCTGGTATGGCGGCCACTTTCAAAGCGGTATGAATGGTGCTCAAAATGCTCCTTGCGGCATGTGCACAACAGAAGCATGTCCAGCAATCTGTTGACTACTACGCAACGAGGTGATGATCAGATTCTTCCAAACTCTTTGTGGTCATATTAGCACCTATAGCGACCATACCCATGGGGCTGGCTCGTTTTAAAACCCCATGATTGCGAAGTTCGCCAATTTCTGCATCTCCGATCCGGAGCTGAAATCTTCACCGGCCCATCAAAACCACGGTCACAATCGATGATCGAGCTATGCAAAGCTTAGTTCCATGGTATCTTCTGTTTGGTTAGAATGTCTCCAGCGTGCGGCCTTGATAGTGGCTGTAGATATCTATTTGCATTATACACCATCAGTCGCAAGGCTACCTAATCAAAGATAGCGGTATGTGCCATCTAGCCTGTCTTACAGGGCCAAGGACCATCTAAAAGGGGGGATAAATGCCCAGTCATTGGATCAGCCCGTGGAACAGGAGGTGATGGTGGGACAGGCAACCACAGATCAATTGGCAGAGAACCACCCTGAAACACTAGTTTTGACAAAACGAAAGAAGAGAGTGGCGAGAATGAGACTACATGCACTAGATAAGCCATCTAGGCTACCCAAGCCTAAATTGGCTTCTCAGAGGGTTCTGGTGTCACATAAGCAATTTGCCTATATTCTTACTCAGAGTCAGCAAACGCATGTGTTTTGCGCAATTGTCAAACCAGCATACGATGAGGCAGAATCTCCTAACGATCAAAACAAAGGGATGACGACTCTCCAGTGCAAAAAATTAATGCGGAAACAGGATCCAAAATATAAGAGGATTTTAAGACGGTGGAGGACCAAAGGGAGATTGTTTTGAACGAGTTGCCGGTAGAACAGAGAGATAAATTGAGGGAAACTTTAAAGCAGTATCAGTCTGTTTTCCCCGATGCACTACCCAAGGGAGCACCACTAGAGAGAGCAGTGCAGCACAAGATTGAGCTGGTGGATGGAGTAGTTCCCAAAGCAAAGCCTCCATATAGGCTAGGCCAAAAGGAATAGGATGAACTGGAAATGCAAATTCGTGACCTACTAAACCAGAGATTCATTCGTCCTTCGACATCTCCATGGGGTGCGCCAATCCTGTTTGTTCTCAAGAAAGACAATAGGTGGCGTATGTATATCGACTACTAGGCACTTAATAAGGATGCAGTCAAGGATCGATTCCTGATCCCCCATATAGTTGAGTTGCTGGATAGGCTGGGGAGAGCAAAATTCTTTACAAAACTCGACTTAGCATCTGGTTACTATTAGATTGGGGTGGCCAGAGGGGATATTGCCAAGATGGCCTTCCAGACTAAACAGGGTTCGTACGAGTTTATCATCATGCCTTTCGTGCTCACTGTAAGGGGCAGTAGCCCTTTTTGGCCGAACGGGAGATGGCCCGTACTCCCCTTTCGACTTGGGGACTGGTGAGGTCAGAATTGTGGTGCAACTTCGATTATAAATTGGTCTGGTAGGGCTATATTTATACCCACTTCCCAAGGCAATCTAAGGGTTATGCCAGGAATAGGGTAAGTCACTCTAATTCTGGTATATCCACCAGGTTTTGATTCAAACTCGCCCATCCCTTGTTCTTCCATCCCACCGACCCATTAGTTCCCAAGACCCATTTCTACCATGCCGACCAACATGGTGCTTTCTCTCTGGTATTTCCCCTTTGCCCATGGTATTGGAAAACACCCGAGCTGCTGCTCCTAATAGACTCTATTCCCCTCTCAAGTACTGGCCTTGGTTTTTCTAATATACAATGCTTTTATGAGCGTCTTTATTATACAATGCGTTGTGCTTTTCCCTAAAGCGAGTGTCCCCTATTGTACAATGTTCCCAACCAGCTTACAATACACAATATATCATAACTAACCCTTATATCCTTCCCCTCCTAGTAGCGAGTGTCATGTGAGCTAGGGTGCGGCCTCCCCGCATGTATCCACACCTCGGGATTTCGGCCGTTGCTCCCGTCTCGTTTTCTATCCTTGTCACTTGGTCTGACGGGTTAGGCATAGTAGGCTCCCAGTTGATGTCTTGACCTCGTTTTGACGCATCCACCTGTGTCGGTTTAACCCATCGTTTTAGTAGTGTAACGCCTCGTCATAGCCTTTTTCTTGCACAATGTTTCCTTGCATCATCCAACGTATTCCTTACGACTGCTCGGGTGCAGCTCAACTTCAGCTGAACCTTGCATTTGTCGCTTCCTCGCAGCTCCTTGGTGACAGCTAGTTCCTCATTTCTCATGGTTACTTTGGTCACGGGAGGAGGCAGCTTTTCTTGTTCTTCTCTCACACCCATTAGGTTATCAGAGTCATCATCGTGTTGGCCCGTTTCTACCATTTCTCTTGCTTTGCTTTCGTAGTGGGTACAACAGGTCATCAAGTCGTCACGGTCGTCAGCTGCACTGTGGCAAGGGGTGTGGTCCTCTGACTCCTCGACGTGGTTCATTTGAAGTAGTTGATAGTCACCAATGTTTTTTCTCTCCTTGGCCCTCTCTCCAGCTGCTTTGGGGTACTATTCTTCATGTTGTATTCTCCAATAGTTCTCTTGGACATCACATCGCACAAC